TCATCTTCCTTGAAGAATTTTGTATTCTAGTCCTGTTCCTGTTGTAAACTTCAAATTGTGTACCTTTTTATTTATTGCATTGTAGAAGTTCTTTACATATTTTTAGAAACCATTACAGATATATTTTTTGTATTTTTTATTTTCTGTTTGTATTTTCTCTCAGCCTGCACTATGTTTTGATTATCTTAATTATGTCTGTTGATGCACAGTTTTTCATTTTTATGAAGTCTTTTTTATCTCTCTCTCTTTTTTTTTCTTTGCTGGTAGTGTGTTTTGATGATGTTTCTAATAGTTCATAGGCCAAATCTAAGACTCTAGATATCTAATCCATATTATCTTCTAAGGGTTTAATGATTTTGACTTTTATATTTAGTTTGTTGATCCACTTTGTGTTAATTTTTTGTATGTGGTCTAAGATAGGTGTACACTTTCCTTCTTTTCTGTGTTTATATCTGATTATCTCAGTATCATTAGTTGAAGAAACTGTTTTTTTCTCCATTGAATGGAGTGAACTACAGGTTTTGACATGTGGTATCATGTGATTTACTGGAGCCATTATTTTCAGTGAGAGAGGCTAGCAAATAAGTAGAACAGATTTTTTTTATTACTCTGTAAACTAACCAGACTGTATATTTGAAAATGTGGAATGTTTCATTTTAAAGTGATAGTTGATGTTTTATTAATTTTTCACCTCAGGCATTGATAAAAGTTTTTAGTTCTTAGTATATAAGGCAGAATATGTGGTTTCAGTAAATAGTTTTCAACTTAGAATAAAATTTTCTTACCATTCTTTATCAAAATTGTGATTAGATAACTGATTTTATTTTTTCTTTTTATTTCATATTGCATACAAAGTTTGTGTACTTTGTGTTTCATACTGTCTTTCATTCATATTGTATTTATACAATAATCCCATTATGTTTTATAAAATTAATCACTATTGAACTATGCTAACCATTACTCTATATTTTCAGATTCCCCTGCAATGTTTCCCATTTTTTTTACACTCCCCCTAAATTGTGCAATCCTTTGCCTTCCCCTCTGCCCATCCTCACCTCTTCCTCTCTTGGATCCCCATGTATGTTTTATTAGTTACCTTCTGTTTTTACACTAATGGCCATATGCAGTATATATTCTTATGAGACTGAGTTAGTTCACTCAGCATAATGCTTTCCAGTCTCTCTCTAGTTACGTAGAAATTTTCTAAATTGTTGCTCATTAATACTGTGCAGTACTCCATTGTGTCAATGTACCACAATTTCTCAGTCCATTTGATTGTGGCTGAACATTCAGGCTCTTTCTATGTTCTTGTAATGGTGAATAACACTGCTATGAACATTGGCGTACAAATCTTCATTTGTATCACAGTTCTAATTTCTTCTGGGTATATTCCTAACTGTGAAATAGCAAAATTTCACCTCGCTGGATTCCTGATTCATTCTCTCTCTCTTTCTGTTTCTCTCATATACATGTAGGGCATGGATCATATTTTTTAGCAGTTTTGGAGAACAGTTATGAAGTGTTAGGAACTAAAAGTGGTAAGGATTAAAAAGAACATCTATTGCCTCTTTAAAGATCTTGATAAAATAATGTGATTGAAAATATCCTGTTTGCCAGCTGAGCAGAAGCTGGTGGGATTCAGTTGGAGAAGCAGACTATTAAATTCTAAATGGACTTAATTTTTCCTTCAGTTAATAGAAGAAAAAATTATTTTCAAATCAAAGTTACTTGAAGATTTTTGAGGTGAGGTCTATTTCTATTTGGCCATGGTAACAAATTTTAAGAAATACTTCTCCTTTTTGTCCTAATATGTGATCATTCTGGGGAATATACCATGTGCACTTGAGAAGAAAGTGAATTGAGGTTTAGGTGGGTGCAGTACCCTGAATAGATCCATAAGTTGAGTTTACTGATTGTATAGTTTAGACCTTTTGCATCTTTGTTAAGTTTCTTTTGAGTTGACGTATCCTTTGGTGTGTTGAAGTCTCCTGCTACTATTGTGTTGCGTCTCTTTCTTTCTTCAATTCTGTTAACTGTTGCTTTATGTATTTTGCAGGTCTATCATTTGATGCATAAATGTTGACCAAGGTTATGTCTTCTTGCTCTATTGTGCCTTTAATTAGTTTGTAATGACTATCCTGATTTTTATGGTGGTTTTCATTCTGAAATCTATTTTATCAGAGATTAGTATTGCCACGCTTGCTTTTTTTATGGTTGCTATTTGCTTTGTATGTTTTTTTCCCCCAGCCTTTGATTTTGAGTCTGTCTTTCTCTTCTTTTTTGAGATGTGTCTCTTGTAGACAACCTACTGATGGGCTTTGTTTTTTCATCCATTCTGCTACTCTCTTTCTTTTGACCTGGCGCATTTAGTCCATTCACAGTAAGTGTGATTATTGTTAGGCCGGGCTTCACTTTTGCCATTTTTCTGAGTTTCATTTTCTGTTCTTTCTGGTTACTATGGTCCGTGAATGGAGTCTCCGTGTGAAGGACTTCCCTTAAAATATCTTGTAGTTTGGGTCTTGCTTTCACAAATTCCATAAGTTCTTTCTACTCTGCGAAGGAACTACTTTCTCTTTCATATTTGATGGAGAGCCTTGCTAGGTATAGAATCCTTGGCTGGCAATTGCTTTCTTTCTACTTTCTGTGTATGCCATCCTATTATGTTTTAGCTTGTCTGGTTTCTACTGAGAAATTTGAACTTATCTAATTGTTGTCCCTTTGGAGGTGACACTTTGCTTTTCTCTTGCTGCTTTTAGAATTCTGTCCTTTTAATTTGGAGAATTTGACTATAATATGTCTTGATATTTTTATTTTTGAGTCTATTCTATTTGGTATTCTCCAAGTTCCTTGAATGTGGATTTCCCTGTTATTCAAGATACCTGGGAAGTTTTCTTCTAGCACTTCTCCCACAATTTTCTCTGTGACTTCCCTCTCCCATGTTCTGAAATTCCAGTCATATTTATGTTGTTCCTTTTGATGTCTTCCACATGATTCTAATGTTTATTTTATTTACATCTCATCTCTGATTTTTCTTCTAGTATGTTTCTACTGAGGCTCTTGTCTTCCAGCTCATTGACTCTCTGTTCCATCTCTTCAGTTCTATTTTTTTTTTTCTCTCAGAGTGTGTTGCTACTTCTGCCAATTCTGTCTTAATATTCTGGATTGCATTTTCACGATTATCTTTTATTTCCATTACTGTGTTGTTGGCTGTACCCTCTCTGTCATGTGAACTGCCAGAAGTCCAGGCTGGGTTTAGAAGGGGTCGTGGTACTAGGGATATTGTAGCTGATGTTAGATGGATCTTAGCTGAAAGCAGAGAATACCAGAAGAATGTCTATCTGTGTTTCATTGATTATGCAAAGGCATTTGACTGTGTGGATCATAACAAAATGTGGCTAACTCTGAGAAGAATGAGAATCCCAGAACATTTAATCGTGCTAATGCGAAACCTATACTTGGACCAAGAGGCAGTCATCAGAACAGAACAGGGCAACACTGCATGGTTCAAAATTGGGAAGGGTGTACCTCAGGGATGTGTCCTGTCTCCATACCTTTTCAACCTGTATGCAGAGCAGATCATCCGAGAGGCGGGGCTCTATGAGGAGAGGCGTGGCTCTATGAGGAGAGGCGTGACATTAGGGTTGGTGGACGATCTATCAATAATCTGCGTTATGCAGATGACACAACCTTGCTCGCTGAAACTGAGGAGGACCTCATGCACTTACTGCAGAGGGTCAAGGACTGCAGCCTTCAATATGGACTGAGGCTTAATGTCAAGAAGACAAAAATTTTCACCACTGGACCAATCGGTAGCATCAGGATGGATGGCGAAGAGATTGAGATTGTTCACAGCTTCAGTTTACTCGGCTCCACAGTCAACACTCTTGGCACCAGTAGCCAGGAAATAAAAAAACGTATTGCGATGGGAAAGTTTGCGGTTAGGGACCTCTCTAAAGTACTCAAGAGCAACGGTGTCTCTCTGGAGACTAAGATGCGCCTGATACAGGCTATGGTTTTTGCAATCACTTGTTATGCATCAGAGAGTTGGACAATGATTAGGGAGGATAGAAGGAGAATTGACGCCTTTGAGCTGTGGTGCTGGAGAAGAGTATTGAATGTACCATGGACTGCCAAGAAAACAGACAGATTTATCGTAGAGAGGATTAAACCAGGCTGCTCCTTGGAGGCAAGGATTCTGGGGCTTCGTCTGACATACTTTGTACATGTTGTAAGGAGAGACAGGTCTTTAGAGAGGGACATCATGCTGGGTAGAGTAGAGGCACAGCGCAGGAGGGGAAGACCCTCTATGAGGTGGATTGATTCGGTGACTGGGGTAATCGGGATGGATGTGTCAGAGGCAATGAGATTGGCACAGGATATAGCACGGTTTAGGGCTGTTGTACATGGGGTCGCTATGAGTCGCAAACGACTTGACGGCACATAACAACAACAACAACAACCTCTTTGTCTGTTCTATCAGTTTTTTCTTCCATAGCTTTTTTTCCCTCATCCATAGCTTTTCAAGTTGCTCCTCATCAGTCTATTTCTTCTGAATTGTTGTCTCTGAGGTATTTTCTCTCTTATTGGCTTTCATTGTTTCTTCTAACATTTATATCTCTTTCTGTAGCTGTTCTAATATCTTTTGATCAAGAAATGGGAAAGATCCAGGGTGAAAAACAATTTATTCAAACTTTGTAAATAAATGCATACATACATACATACATAAAATGACTACTAATAAAGTTATTAAAAGACTGGATCAAATTAAAGATGATTTGGTAAATAGGAGGTAGAATGAAATGACTTAGCAAAAGGAAATGAGTTTGTATTGAAATTTATTTTACTGTGAGCATGTTTTTATTTGTATACTATTTTCTAGTACAAAACAAAATGTACAACAAAATCAGGAATGTATTGGAAAATGAGAAATCTTATTTTTAAATTTGGTTGTCCTCTTTTATGACTCAGATCTGTCTTTTGACTCTGTTATCTCTCTTCAGTTTCAGAAATCCTATCCTGAAGTTTATCTACAACGATTTCCTACACCAGAAAGTGAAACACTTCTGTTTCCTGAAAAACCTAAACCAAGACCACCACTACTGATTTGGGCACTAAGAAAGCCTTTCCAACCATTTCAAAGAACTAGAAGTTTTCGAATGTGATTAATTACACCCAGTAGAGAACCCTGTTGTGGTTTGTGTGAATGGGCAGTTAGCAGAGAACATTGATGGTGGGAGAAGGATAGAATAAAACATGGACTACTGAAATATATTGAAATAAAATATTATTTGGCTTTTAAAATATGTTGTGCTTTAATCAGTATTTTTTAAAAACAATACCTTTTTAAAGTATACAAATCCATTCAAAATTATTGGTCAGATGTATTATAGCAGTGTTAACATTCGTTTGTAATTGCTATGAAGTGAAAGATGATGTCTTTTCATTTTTTATTTGTTGCTGTTTGTCACGGTGCCTGTTAATTTGTGTATGTCTGTGCTATTAATGTCTTTAATGTAACCAAGTCTTAAATATGGTGTATATATTTAAATAAGAAATACACTGGGTACTGTTACTGTGATGCTGTTGACGTAATAGCCAAATGTGATGTCTCTTGTATAAATTCTGTTTTACATTGCTGCACAGAAGCTTATAATGTACTGTATTGTGAATGACTCTATTTTTAAAACGGCAAAAATGTGGAATATTCTGATTTTATTGAAGCTGGTTCTTCCAGAAAATGAACATTAACTGATGTTTACCTCTAAGTGGAGTAGATTTTACCTGCCTTGCATGGTATATCAGAGTTCGCAAAAGAAGGAAAGATGAACAAGATGCTAAATACTCTGGGTTCTTTAGTGCTATTGCTCCTAAGTTTTATTTTTGAAAAGTTTTGTGGGTTAAGTAAACCAAGACTACTCCTCTTTAAAAAATGTATTTTCATCACTTTTCCCATCCTTTTGGATATATATGGAATGTAAATAAATACAATTTTTTGTAATTCATTTATCTTTGGAGTTTTTTTGTATGTTCTTTGGTTAGTCACAAAGCATCTTCCTGTGCTAATCATCCTTGCCTTTGCCAGTGTTCTCGCATTAGTCATTTCTTTCTGTGAAAAAACTAAGAAATAGGATTCAGGCCTGAGTACTACAATAGTAGAATAGTACATTATTTTGCCTTGCCCTTTTACAAAATAGTTATGAGCTTGGATAATGGAGTACTTGGATGACTACTTTTGAGAGCAATTACCTAAATAGCTATATTATTTGGGCTCCTTGTTTCCCAAGAAAAGTGATCCAACAGAATGTGGAAATTATCAAACAATATCATTAATATCACATGGAAGAAAAGTATTGCTGAAAATAATTTAAAAAATGGCCAGAACAGTACATAGAAAACTGCCATAAATTCTAGCTGCATTTAGAAGAGGTCAAATAGGTCCTGGCTGAAAGTAAAGATACCAGAAGGATGCCTCTTTGTGCTTTATTGACTATGCAAAGGCATTTGACTGAGTGGATCATAACAAATTATGGCAAACATTGAGAAGAATCAATCCTAGAACACAATTTGGCTCATACAAAGCCTATATCTAGACCAAGAAGTCGTGTGTGAAAAGAGCAAAGAAATAGTTGTTGTTAAGTGTTGTTAAGTCTAGTATGACTCATAGCAACCCTGTGAACAATAGATCTGAACTCTTATTCTGTACCGTCCTTATCCTCAACATATTTGAGTCCATTGCCAAGACACTTTATCAATCCATCTCATTGAGGGTTTTCCTCTCCTTTGATAACTCTGTACCTTTCTAAACATGATGTCCCTTTCCATGGAACAGCTTCTCCTAGCAACATGCCCAGAATATGTGAGATGAAGCTTCACCATCTTTGCCTTCAAAGAACATTTTGGTTGCACTTTCTCCAAGACATATTTGTTCTTTTAGCAATCCATGGGATATTGAGCACTCTTCGCCAACACCACAACTCAAATGCATTGATTCTTTCTCTCCCACTATTCTTATTTATTGTCTAGCTCTCAGATACATAGTAGGTAATTGGAAAGACTGTGGCGTGAATCAGGCACACTTCAGTCTTTAAACTGACATCATTACTTTTCTGGACTTAGAGTGATCCCTGACAATAGAATTTCCTAATGCTTACATCTCCTAATCTCACTGCTGCTATCAAAAGTGTTGAATATGGATCCAAGTAAGAAGAAATCACTAACAGGTTCAATTTTCATCTATCGTGATATTGCCTACAGGTCCAATGGAAAGAATTTTTGTATTCTTGTCACTGAGTTGCAATCCATACTGAAGGTTGCACTCCATCTTCAGCAGCAAACACTGTTGCTCAGAGTCCTCCATTTCCATAAGGAAGGTTGTGTCATCTTCATAATGCTTTAGTTGTTAAGGAGCCTTCCTCCAATCTCGATGCTACACTCTTCTTTATAAAGTCCAGCTTACTCAGCATACATATAAAATAGGTATGGAGTGAGCATGCAACTCTGACATATATACCTTTCCCAATTTTAAGCTGTACAGTGTTTTCTTCCTCTGGTCAGACAACAGCTTCTTATTCTAGGCACTGATTTGTGTAAGCGCAATTAGGTGTTCTGGAATTACCATTCTTCTTAAGGTTAATCACAATTTGTTATGATCCACACAGTCAAACGCCTTTGCATAGTCAAAAAACCACAAATAGACATTCTTCTTATATTCTCTGCTTTCAGCCAAGATCCATCTGATAACAGCAATAATATCCTTGATGCCACAGTCTCTTCTAAATCCAACTTAAAAGGAACACTGTGGTTTAAAATGAAAAAAGGTATGTGTCAGGGTTGTATTCTCTCCATCCCTATTAATTATGTATCCTGGGCAAATAATTCCAGAAGTTGGACTCTGAAGAAGAATGTGTCATCAGATTGGAAGAAGAATTATCAAGAACTTGCACTATGCAGAAGACACTTGCTTGGTGAAACTGAGGAGGACTTGAAGTTCTTGCACAGAAGATCAAAGAATACAGCCTTCAATATGAATTACATCTCAATGTCAAGAAAACACAAATCCTCACCACTGTATCAATAAGCAACATGATGATCAGGTGTAGGAGAGATTAAAATTGTTAACAACTTCATCTTGCATTCACAATCGACACCCATTGTACCAGCAGTAAGGAAATCAGGAGATATAGCGTTGGGAAAGTCTGCAGTCATGGACCTCTCCAAATAACTGAGGAGTAATGATGTACGTTTGAAGACTAAGGTGCAACTGACTCAGGCCATGATCTTTTCAATCACTTGCTATGCATCTGAGAGCTGGACAATGAATAAAGGTGACGGAGATTAGATGCCTTTGAGCTGTGGTATTGGAGAAGAATACCTAATGAATATTCCATAGACTGTCAAAAGACCAAAAGAATATATCTTGGAGAATGTACAGCCAGAGTGCTTTTTCAAGGCAAGGACAGCAAAGTTTTGTCTCATACTTTGAGCATGTTGTTAGGAGAGACTATTCTTTGGGAGGGTACATCATGCTTGGAAAGGTCAGTGAAAGAGATCAAGAACTTCAACAAGATGGATCGACACAGTGACTGCAGCAAAGGGTTCAAATATGTCAGAGATAATGAAGATAACACGGGATAGGACAGGGTTCAGACCTGTTGTTTGTAGTGTTGCTATGAGTGGCACTCAACAGCACATAAGAACAACATTTTGGACTGATTTTCCTTGCACTTGACACCTGCCCTTTGTTCTTTTATAACAACATGCCTCAGATTTTGCTTATTTTAAAATTGAGAAAAGTTTTATTATTCTCTACCTTTCAAATATATATATAATGTGATGGGAGATTTTACTGTTTATGGATTTATTCTTATACTTTAGCATTCTGTTTAAAGCAACTTTTAAAGTCTACTTTCTGCATTATTTGTCTTTCCATGTATAGTTTACTTTCTTATAGTCTCTCTTATTCCTTATTTTTGGAAGTGTATGTATTTTTTTCTTGTGAACTACAACATGCTTCTTTATAGAGAGGCTATAAAGATCATCACCACATGTTTGTGAAATTGATGAGTAGATAATTTAACAATTTTCCAAAGTAGTTGTACAAATTAACAATCCCATTAACAGTCTATGAGAATGACTTTTGCTTAACATCCTCACCAAAATCTGTTATTGTCAAAGCATGACCTTTTGTCAATCCATTATATTTATAATGAGTGATATAATGGTTTTTACTTTGCATTTCACAGATTACTAATGTGGTTAGACGTATACTTTTTTTGATCTTTTAAACTTTTGTATAAATTACAATATCTGCTCATCAAGCTACATGTGCACATACCTTGTTGAGAGGTTGATTGTATTGAATCTATAAATCAATTTGGAGAGAATGGCAATCCTTACAGTATAAAATTTTGCTTATCATCATAATCCCTCTGCTTTTTATATAGAATTAATAAGGAAAAAACCTCTTTGTGAATATTTTCCGTTTTTAAAAAATTTATTTCTAGATATTTTAGAAATTGTTAGCACCAACACTTACAAATATATGCAGAAGTAAAAGAATAATAACCATCTCTTACCTTCAAAAATGAAATTATTAACCATTGGGTTAATTGTGGATAGCGTTTGGTGGAGTTCCCCAAATAAAACTTGGAAGAAGGAGTGGCACCCACTTCTGTAATAGCTTGCCTCCGAAAACTCGATGGACTTGGAGAAACTATGTAAGTTATACAAGTGTTCGGGTCTTTCATTCATAGAGTCGCTATGAGTTGTTTATGACTCAACGGCACTTAACAACATTGGGTTAATTACTAGCAGCTTAAATGGTTATTATTCGATAGATAAATAACTTGATGTCTAATCATATTGTAAGTGGTGTCTGAAACATTTTTTTTGAAACCTCTCTAAAGTACGCAAGAGCAACGGTGTCTCTCTGGAGACTAAGGTGCACCTGATGCAGGCCATTGTCTTTGCAATCACTTGCTATGCATCAGAAAGCTGGACAATGGAATGATAGAAAGAGAGTTGATGCCTTTGAGCTGTGGTGCTTGAGAAGAGTGTTGAATATACCATGGAGGGCTAGGAGAATAAACAGGTTTGTCCTAGAGAGGGTCAAACCAGGCTACTCCTTGGAAGCAAGGATTCTGAAGCTTTGTTTGATATACTT